TTTAATACTATGCTTTTCTTCCATGTGCAGCTTTTGACATACTACCTAACTTTTAATGTTAGTTTTTCTCATAGTTTTTTCTAAGTAGGCTATAATAGAAGTTTGAATCTCTCTTTTACCCAAGTTCAGAGGCTTACTATATGACATAAAATTGACATAATTTAATCCTCCCCTGGAATTAAAGTGTCAGATTTGTACCTATAGATACAAGTCTAAGGAATATAGGAGTATATGAGCCCTAATCACAGAACCTCACTCTACTGAAGAAGTTTCTAATTACCACTAATTTTTCATCATCTGCATCTGTCTCATAAAGTCAGTTTTGATATATACAGGGCAGAATCTCTAGGGTAGTATAACATGGCTGATTTTCTGCAAAACGGATTATTAAATCAAAGAACAAAGCAATCATATCCTGAGTAATGACCATGTCCCCCAGGCCATCTTCTTCACTGCTGTGGTTACCAGTGTCTTTGACCTGCCAGCAGCATTATAAACATCATCTATTATTTATAAATCGCTCACACAATGGACCATAGACAGTTCTTTGTGACAGGCCCTCACATTTTTGTCTCCACCACATTTAGCTTATTGATGGGGTGCAAAGAAGAAGTGTCCCTAACCATTCCAGGAATTCATGTGAGGATGTTCTATGTGAACACTTGCTCCAAAAGCTTTTTATTCTTTTATCACCAGAGGGTGGCTTTTCACAGAGATGATACTTGAACAAAATAGCCTCCAATTTCCCCTTAATGAATGAGTTTTAACATGCCCCAAAGGCAAGAGAAAGATTTAGATTTTATTTCTAATATTACATTAGTAAGATGGGCTGAGTTTCTGAATAAATCTCTTTTTAAACAGCACATCTGAGTTCAGATAGTAGCCTGACACATAGATTGAATTAGAAAGGAAACACTGACAGGTAAGGAGATGACAGATAAATAGATAAATAGTGGTAATAATAATAGATAGATAGTCAGACAGATAGATAATTACCAGATACCAGCAGAGCCCCCTCTGAATGGGTTCTGAAATTGTTTAGCAATAGAAAAGCTTTGCAATCCTCAGATCAGCCTGTGGCTCTCAAATAAATCTTGGTAGAGTTCCCAAAATACGTCTTTCTCTGTTAATATATTAGCTTATTCTCTGTGTCATCTAAACATAGGGTTATAATTTCCAACTATTGAAATTTTTAATTTTTAAAAGGGCATTCTTGCCTCACTCCCATCCTGGCCCTGTTGCTGAGGTAGAAGAGGATTGACAGCAATTTAGAGCTGTGGTCCAACGGACATTAACATATTTTCCACTTTGTAATTACAGTCTTGTGAGGTCTGCTCATGCCAGTTACATTTTATAGAAATACGGAAAATTAGCACATGTAAAAATAGTCAAATTTTTTCAAAGCCCTTTAATTATTTGCAAGGCTCACCAAAAAGGCCCAATGTAACCAGTCATTGTTCAGCATATAGCCCAGGATTAGAACTGATGTCTAAGAAAAAAATAAAAAGAATGTTTTCTGCAGCTCTGTGTCTTGCTGATAATTTCTTGATAATTACATCTAAGATTCAAATGTAGGTTTTGTTTTGAAATAGTAAAGCCTCACAAGAAAATAAACGAACAGAATAAAAACCCATGTAGTTCAGAAAAAGCATCTCTTCATGAAATAGCTCAAAAAAATAGACATTTTCTATGCAATTACTTTTTGCAAAGAACTATGAGCATGCTCTGATTCTTACTAGAGGAACTCTGCGAGCAATTAAATACGATGTTATCTCTAGCCCTATTCGGATGCTGTTAATAATAGTAACAGCTATCATTTATTCAATCTCTACTTTTTTTTCAACAAATGTACTTAAGATGTACCTTCATTATCTCTCAACCTCCAGATAACCCCGTAAGGAAGTTAATCTCCCCTTTTCAGGGCTAAGGACGCTGATGCTCTGGGAGGTAAGGGACCTGCCCGAGGGAGCAGAGCTAGAAAATGGCAGTGCCAGCATCACAAGGAGGTGCGTCCAATTCCAGTTCTCTGTCAACTTTGCCACTCCTTCCACTCTGGTAGAGGCAGGGACCCTACAGATCTCATCCAAGGTGTGTCCTATAACAGACGACATTCATATGAAGGACAAACTACCATGGGGCTCTTACCAAAACTGTTATGGGAAAGAAAACAAATGGTGCCAGAGGCAACACCCAAGGATTTGCTAATTTTATTGTGCCACTCTTTTTCATGGTAGATCAGTATCAGTCACTTACTCTAGATTGTAACTTAAATTTGATATGATTTAGGTTATAATTAATTTTAGACACTTTAGCTAATAACCCACATCTCTTTCTCCCACTCAATATGCATCACAGAATACAGAAGAATGAAAGTGATCGTGGTATAGGTACAACATTGAATCCATTCTAATTTGTCATTCATTTTAAAACAAACCAGTTGTGAGTTTTACTAATTTATTAATAGAAATTGATTTTTTGTAACACTTCCCAGCTAATTGTGATACATCTCTTTGTCAACACTGCAGTTAGGAATCACTCGTGTGGCAGATAGTAGGTACTCAAATTTTAGTTTTATTTGATGCAAGTTATCATTTTACCTAAATTAACATGAATCTTCAAGTCAAGTGTGTGAGGAAGGGAGAGAGGGATGGAGGGAGTAAGTAAATGACTTTGTCATCTAGTCAATGGCTCAACATCTCCAGGGCTTGGGAATTTGGTAACTCCTGAGGTGGCTCATTATAATATTAGCAACTTACTTCTTAATTGAACCAAAAGCCTTTCCCCTGAATCTTCCTCCCACCCAGTGGTGCATGTTCTACTTTCTGCAGCCACCCAGAACCGCTTCATTCCGCATTGTAATGTGACGGTCCTAAAAATATTGGAACAGTTATCACATTTTTTCTCCCCAGGCTATACATTGCTAGTTCTTTCAACTATTTCTCCCACGATCTGATTTTTCAAACTTCTCACTATTCCGGTAACTCTCTTCTATTTTTCTTGCACTTGGCTCCTTTCTTTGATGCTTCACCTACACTTAGCATTCTCACTGATCGTGTTGGCTTCTAGAGCCTTGACTATTCAGTGAGGGTGCCTTGTCATTCTATTGGGAAAACAACTCATGACACTGTCTAGTGTTATCTTTTGCTTTTTGGTCCCTGATATTGCTGCTATCACCCTTAAGTGGTGATTTTCAATCTGTGTTCCTGGAAACCCTAGGATTAGAAGAAGTGCCTCAGGGCAGATCAGGAGACACCAACAGCCAGGAGGGGAAGACTCTCACATCCTGCCTCAACTAGAGCAATTACATTTTTACCCAACTCTACATTCAGCTTCTGCATGGAATTTCATTTGAAAAGATTGTTCTGAAAAGAAAAAAAAAAATGATTTTAAAGTTTGAATAGCATTGCCCTAGAACAGAAGTGGAAGAGTGCAAGGATGTCCAGAAAACAGCAGAAATCCAGGGAGCCCAGGACCTATTCAGGCAAGAAGACCTTCTCCCAGGGCTCAGCTTCTTCTAAGCAGTCTATCAACTTGAGACCAATATAACAATTGCATTCAGAGAGCATCACTTCTGCTCTCAATAACACAGGCAAACTCATCCTCCCCACCCAGATGAGCTCCTGACTGACATAACTCAGTGTAGCCAGCTCAATCCACTTGGCTGGCATTAGGAGCACAAAAAGGGCAATTCCATGGTATATAGGAAGGGTACTTCCTCAAATTCAGAATATGGGATGCCATATTTCCATTTGTGAAGGATAAGATGAAGGTTAATGGCTGGTTTTACCTGCTCAAAGAGAGGGTCATTATTGGGAGGCATAATTAAGAACTACATCCACAGAAAGGTTTAGGAAATTGGTTCTCAATCTTAACTCCACGTTAGAATCTCTCAGGGAGCTTTAAATAATACCAGTGCCCAGAAGTTTTTATTTAATTGGCCTTAGATACAACCTTGGCATCAGTATTTTTTTAATCTCCCCAGATGACTTTAACATGCAGTCTGAGTTGAGAATCTCTCATTGAAGATAAGACCAATTGAACATAATTTAAACAGGAAACTATTTGTTCATTCAAGTGTGGATAATCAGTGGAACTAATGGTTGAAGTGACTGTGGGATTTTATGGGGCTACAGAGAGATTATTTTGCGGTGAGGGTCAGGAAAGGGGGGAAGGGACCAGGAAGTGTCCATTTCACTGAGCATTTCTCTCAGGCTTCAGAGTGATCCATTTGCATATGGGGAGGGTAAATTCATGGTACTCTCAACATGTGCCTTGGAAAGATTTGTAAACTGTAGGGTAGGAAGACATTTCCTCTACCCACTCTGGGTCCTTCTGGCTGGACAATGAGTTAAATTCACAGGAGACAGAATAACAGGGGAAAATTAAACAAAGCTTTATAACATGTATACATGGAAGAGGCTCAAGAAAACTGAGCAACTCACCAAAATGGCGGAAGCTCTCACCTTAAATACCACCCTCAGCTAAAGACAAAGGAGGATGTTGGGGGTGAGGGAGTCAGTTATGGGAGATTACTAGAAAAGCACAGTAAATAAGAGTAAGGTTATTATGCAGATTTAAGTCCTTGCCTTCTGCATTGATAAGAGTTTCTAGAGATAAAGTCATTCCCCCCTTCTTCCTGGTACAGAGAGGGAGACACCTTTACAAATGGAGATTTCCTTTACAAATATAAATGTCTCTTAACAAAGGGTAAGTAAATTCAACTTTCCAGAGTTTCTCTCCTGTCTGCAGTTTTTAAAAGTAACTAGCCCAAAATAATCCTCATGCCAAAGAGACACATCTTGGGGTTGCCAATTCTAGTCCCCCAAAAAACCATCATTTATGGTTATAGACACAGGCTGGCCACAACCAAAGGCCTGACAACCAGTTGGTGTCTGTTAAGTATAGTAGAACCAAGCAAGGGTTTGAGTCTAGAGGAATGAGAAAAGAAGGAGCAGAACAGATTAGATCATTCAAACTACTTTCTTGCTTGTACCCTCAACTTCCTGACCCCTCATCATTTCTTTCCTTTAGCAGTGTTTATTCAGTCCTTACTTAATAAGCCAGACATATTGAGTGTGGGAACTCATTTTTCATTAAAAAATAAAAAGACATTAACCCTGTTCCCTTGGAGCTTGCTTTCTAGTAGATGAACTGATGGTCTAGCTTTTCCTTCCTTTTCCTGAAAGTTTTTGAAGCACTAGATTACATTCTGTCTGTCAGCTTCCTTGCCTCCAAGTCACATCTCAGCCTACAGCAATCTTCCATCCCCTCCACTGTTTGGTAACTCACAAAGACAGATAATGACCTCCTGGCCACCAAATCCATTCATTCAACACTCAATAAAGGTTTGAATGGTCACAATACTTTTCTGTTTTAGTATTGGTTTTTTAACCTTGCTTCAGAATTAGACACTATTGTCCATTTTCTCTCTAGAAATTCTCACCTCCCAGAGTGCCTGAAATACTTTGCTCTGTTAGTGCTTTTCTGCCCCTGATGCCAGATCCTCTTCCTTTCTCCACACTCTAGCATTTCAGCCCCTCTGTCTTCTGCCCAGGTAACTGCTCCACCACAAATTCACTGTCTCGTTTGATCATCATATTTATTTCCTCATATGATATCACTATCATGATGTTACTGACTTCAAAATCAATATCCTCCTCTCAAGCATCCCCAAAGCCCAAATCTATATATTTACCTGCCCACTAAATGTCCACCTAGATGTCCCACAGGCATAGCTAGCCCAACACTTCCTAATACCTCTCCTACCTCCTTAAACTGCTCTTGTCCCACACTCACATCTTGTTGAAATAACACCATCCTAGTTATCTGAGTTGTAAAATGAGAGTTCTTCACAGCTGTTACCCGTTCCCCACCAACCCCTACCTCAGCCAGTGAAATAATCCAAGAGAAACTCTTTACTCCTTAAATGGCATTTATACTTTTGAAGAGTATGGGTAGAATGTCATTTCATATCCTTTTGGTTAGAATTCTGTTAGCTGGAATGGCATTTCAAAACCTAGGTTTTAACAGCTGTTAATGAAACACACATTACGTAACTACGGAATTGAATATGTAAATCAAATAAAAATACATATGTTTTGTAAGCTTTCTATCTTTTTAATCACAGAAAGAATCACTGGTCAATCAGATGCTTTTCTTAAGACATGGTTTGATACTCTCCCATTTTTCCTGAGTCTGATATAAAGATCAGCATCTTTCATAGTCAGCACCCCTGGAGGAAATCTAATAAGGAAGCAGGGAGAGAGACATATTTAGTATTTTTTATTAAAATGCAATAAGAACAAGGGCTATATATGGACCAGTCTCTGAATGGATTTGCATATAGAAGATTATAGCCTATCAGCTATAATTAGAACAATATTATAAATTAGAACAGTATTACAAACTTCTCTTGCATGTCTCAAGGAACAGGATAGGAAATTCATGTGTAACTCAAAGCAAAACTTCATAAACCCCTTTTCTTTTCTTCTTGCTCCCAGTTCTTTAATCCTCTCCCTTCAACACACAACTTTTTCTCCACCCAGATAGCTAGGTTTGCCCCCTCCACATCTTCATCCTCCTACTGCCGCCCAGCTCTTAGCCTCTCTACCTAAGTCTTTTCCCTTCCTCTAGTCTTTCTGGTCTTACCCTTCTCTATCAGGTTTCCCAATTCTAGGTAATATTAAAATTAGGCTGACAAAGACAGAACTCTCCTAAGAAATTAAGAGGGAGGAGAATCTGTGTGAGCAAACACAGAATTACCTTTAGCTAGTAAAAGAAGCCTGAGAATGCTCATACATTATTAATAAATCTTGTTGCCACCACATTCACTTACATAGTATTGTGATACTGTGATTTATAATAAGAAATATATATTTGGTCTTCCTTCCTGTTTCTAGCACAGAGCTCCTAAAATCTTTGCAATTTCCTGTGATGAGGACTTAAATGTGTCTTTTGTTATGTTAATGAGATGATATTTGGGAAGCACCTAAGGAGGGGGGCTAGTTACCAAGGGACCCAACCATGTGATTAGAGTAGATGGCTAATGACTTAATCAATCATGACTATGTAATGAAGACTCTGTAAAACCCCAAAAGGACAGGTTCACAGAGCTTCATGTTGGTGAACATGTGAAGAATTGGGGAGAGTGGTGCATCTGGAAAGGGTATAGAATCTCCACGCCCCTTCCCCATACCTTGCCCTATGCATCTCTTCCATCTGGCTGTTCCTGAATTATATCCTTTCATAATATAAATAGGTGATCTAAAAAGTAAAATGTTTCTTTGAGTTCTGTGAGCCTCTCTAGCAAATTAATCAAACTCAAGGATGAAGTCATGAGAACCTCTGATTTAGAGGCCACTTGGTCAGAAGTACAGGTAACAACTTACAACTGGTGTCTGAAGTCCAAGGAGAGGGTTGTGGGAACCTCTAATCTGTAGCCGGTTGGTCAGAAGCACAGCTAACAACGTGGGCTTGTGATTGGTATCTGCAGTGGAGGGCAGTTGTGTGAGACTGAGCCCTTCACCTGGGGAATCTGATGCTATCTGGTAGAGAGTGTCAGAACTGAGTTGAATTATAGGGCACCCAGCTCATGTCCTGAGCATTGCTTGCTGGTATGGGAGTAAAACCCCCTTGTAAGGGAGGAAGACAAATCCTCTACCTTCTGGGTCCTTCTGGCTGGGCTACAAATTAAATTGACATGAGACAGAATAACAGGAGAAAATCAAACAAAGCTTTATAATATGTATACATGGGAGAGACTCAGGAAAACTGAGCAACTCACCAAAATGGCAGAGGCTGGTCCCTTAAATGCCATCTTCAGCTAAAGACAAAGGAGGGTGTTGGGGTAGTGGTTTGGGGCTTCAAAGGGGAGGAAGGCAATTCACATGGAGATGGAAAAGCAAATGTTTAGTAGATAAGAATGGGCTTAGCAAGGACCCTCACAGTCTTTGGATACCCAGAGTTATCTACAGTGATGGCCTGTTCTGGGGCCAGGGCTTTTATCTTAAATTCTTTTAGGCAGTTAGGGGGAAGATCAAAGTTTCTTCCAGAGTCTTTTGTTCTTAAAAATAATGAAGCCAAAGAGACACATTTTGAGGTGGCCAAGCCCACACCCTCCACACACTGGAATTGGGTCCAAAACTTTTAAGTATGTAGTTGAATTGTAACGCATCTCTACCAACTGCGCAATGACTTCTAAGCCTGGAGGAAGGTGAAGGAACTCAGGTTCAGAGTTCTATGTCTTCCCCGTAAAAATAAACTGCCTCTATCATATCTCTTCCACAACATGTGTACTGTTGTAGATACTCTGAGTCAGTCTCTCCAACATAGAACAGTGGCATGAGGAGCTTGGCAGAACTACTCTCTAGCAAAACAAACATAATTGGTGAAAATTACAAAAATACAACCATTTGAAGACTCTAAAATTGCCCTAAGGGTATACAGCAAATGAAGAAACATTTATTCAAAAATCTATTGAATCTTCATGAGAATGGTGTCTATGGCACTTGAGCCATGATCCACTCCCTCCTTCGTGCCCCAGCTCAGCATGAGGAAAGTTCCAATCTGGGTGAGTGTGGCCAAGAACTTAGGGCTCCCTGTCTCCCCAGACAGAGGCTGTGGTGTCCCCACAGAAGGGGCATGCTGCCAGCATTGCTTACTCCCAAACCCCAGCTCCCTGTAGCAGAGGCTGAATTCTAGGTGAGTGCAGCCGAGAGGTTAAGGGTTACCTTCCTCCCCTCAGTCCCCACTCATAGGGTGAAAGCTCTACCCCAAGCACAGCAGGCCAAGAATACTGGGACCCCATCACCCTCACCCACTCAGAGGACTGCAGTTGCCTGTCAGGAGAGGCAAACCAAGAAGATTAGGCTGCTGCCCACCCTGTGCACAACTCATAAAGCCGGGGCCTCACTCTGAGAGGAGACAACTGTCCTCACCCCAGTTTTAGAGGAGTGACTCAGAGATTTTGCCCAGAGGTAGAGGCAACAGCAAGATTAAAAGCCAGATGTCAGTATCTATGAGCCTTTCCTCGGGGGCTCTTAATTTCCTGGGAAGAATCCTTCCATTTCCTTTCTCGGGTGAATCCACCCAGTTCCAGTATTCTGAGGCCAAGGGTCGGGGGAGGGGATGAGCGTGCCATGACTCAGAATGCAGGCTTCACATGGTCTCCACACTGTGTCTCACAGAATGTCTCTAGAGACTAAACCATTCCCTTTGTGTAGGGGGTTGGGAGGAACCTTGGCAGTTTGAGTGCTCACTATACATATTTCCAACAGTGCCTGCTCTTAGGCTTTTTCCCACATCCCCACCTATATAGAACCTGGTTTCTCTAAATTGTGAGACTTCAACCTTCTTTGCGTGGGAATTCTAACTCTTGACAGTGGTGATCCTCTCTGAGGGCCCCTAGGCTACGGGTTCTTTGCTAGGTTAAGTCAGTTATCACATATTTATTCACTTTCCTGATGACCTTCTGTATCATTTTCTGGCAGATGGAATGGATCGGCCACCCAAAGGCCATTCACATCTCGCTTCTCTCCTGTGTCCTCTACCAAAGGACTGAACAGCTAAAATACTCACCTTCTCATACTCCCCTTGAAGCCAGGGCTGGCTGAGTGACCCAGTTCTTACCTATAAGATAGAAGCAAATGACACTAAACGGGGCTGCAGGAGAGCTTTCTAAGAGAATCAGACCTAGTCTTCAGGCCACTCACCCCATTGCTTCCTGGGGCTGCAGGGCTTATCCAGAGACTATGAGTGATACCCACCCTCTTAATCTCAAATTCATGTGCCTGATGCATAGTAAACCAAACACTGAGGGAGACATTGGTGCTTAGAGATGGAGATAGGTTTATTCCAATTGGCCAAGAGGAGAAATCAGGAGAGGATTCTCTCAAATCCACTTTAACAAGAAAAGGCAGGGAGTTTTATAGAGCCAAGGGGAGTGGCAGGAGGAGTGTCAGAGAAATAAAGGGGTAATCCGTGATTCTTTCACTTCCGATAAACCCCTGGACAATCTGACTTCTAGGCATCAACAGCAGCTGGGGTCTGGTAATCCTTGAAAGCTTTCTCTTTGTTCTGTAAAACAAGCTCATAAATCCTTGTGACCTTTGAGCGACCCCTCAGGTTAAACAGGCAAACAGCAAATTGACAAGATTAGCTTCTTTTCATAACAAGGTCAAGAGGTAATCTCATTGAGAATTTACAGTAACTCTCAGGTAGCCAGCTTCAAGAGGACAGACACCTCATGCTGGTATACAATAAGACTTTAGAAATCATGGTGAAAACGAAAATTTTAAAATGACTTACAAGCCACTGAAATCACAAAAGATCCCAGAAATAGACATAAGTCATGGAATAACACCAGAGCCTTCATTCACAGGAAATTCTCAGGCTTCCTAGAGAAGCACAGTGAAACATGGAACGATTTGCTTAGGGATTTTCACTGCATTGCCACTTGCCTCTGTGTCTTCATCCTCCTCTCCTTGGCTATATTTCAGTGAATAATTTCTGTTAAAAAAAGAAACACATATGCACAAGCTCCCGTTTCATCTTTTCTTTTACTCAGAATTGTCCTTTAGAAGCAGGAAAGGTATACCACTGTGACCCCAGGAGACTGGCTCCCTGGGGGCAGTCCCTCTTCTGGCTCTTACATCTGCTTCTGAATCAGGACTCACTGTTCCAAAAATAGATCAACCCTGCCCGCCCCCATCCCCCCATCATATTAGTGAGAAACGGATATCTATTAATGATTTCTTGGGGAAAATTGTAAGGTGGGTTTACACTGAATATCATAAGGTAAAACACTTCATTAAAATAAAAATCACCTTTAAAGATCTCTATTTTAATCCCACTGGTGACCAACCATATCTTTTTTCCCCTCTACCGTCCCCTCTCCACCCTCCAGCCTCCCTGCCACCCTGGTCTTCCTATTTTATGCAGAGTAATTTATCTCCCATCTGCTTCTTATCTTCACATGCATCAGCCAACCTCTTAAAACAAAAATCCATTTTTAGGATACATCCTTCTTAGAAAGGAGTTTGTGAGAGGGCTGTAAATAAGAATTTTTTCCTGTCACACCAGGGCCATAGATTTTGTTGTTGTTGAATTTATTTTACTCATACTCCCTCTGTGTCTGGCTACATTTCTAAACTCTTCAGCCCTTGTTTTCTTCTCCACAGTTCCTGCTTCTTTTTCTTTTGTTAGTTCTATCTCCTTCACACTTTCATAACTTGCCTCTCTCCTTCTCTTTGCAGAAGGTGGTGAGGTCATGACATGGGGGCAGTAAAGGAAGAGGGGGTGATGCTGAGGGAAGGAGGGTGCTGGAGGAGGGGGATGTTGGGGTGGGAGGTAAGGGCAGTGTCTTGGGCAGGTTCCTGAGAGGTGGGATCTGAGACTGGGTTTTGGGTGCTTGTGATTCGTTGAAAGAATGCCCTCAGAAAAAGCATACAGGGCTGGGAGGGAAGCTAGAAAGGAAAGGGAAAGAGCAAGCAAGGATGTGGTCTTGGGCAAAGACTGACTTGGCCTGATCTGTGGGGAGAGAGCTCTGGAGCAGAAATCACACCCAAGTATGGTCTGCTTTGAGGCCAGGGGCCAGTCTTTTGTGTGAAGGATCAGTCAGCCCTTGGCTTTTCTGCTGTCCCCTCAGGGGTGGAATGCAGGGCTAAGTCGCAGAGCAATACTCGGCCAGGGCAATGCTCTGGAGAAAGGGGGCAGCAGTGAGCTCTAAGCAGCCAACCTTCATGGGGCAGGAGGATGGGCAGCCCCAGGAAAAGGCACCCAGGTGGACCACTGCACAGTCTATACAGAAACTGGCAACCATTAAGGAAGAGCTGCCTCTCTCAGTGATTATGTGTGAGGCACTGTGCTCAAAATGTTCTTGCATTTTCTCATTTACTCCTCACAACAGTATGGAGGGATAGATAACCTTTTCCTCCTTTTGCAGATGAAGAAACATTAAGCAATGCATGATGTTACAAATAGTAAGAGACAGAACCTGGACTAGAATCTTAGCTGACTTACTCTAACGTCCGAGCTGTGAACCATTGTTTGGTCCTTCTAATAACTCTAGAAGATGAGTATTATATTCCCAATTTACAGATAAGTTTGATTCAGGTCCATTAATGTACTTGTACTTCTGTACCTGGCACACAGTAAGCATTGATGACTGGCACAGAAACAGGTAATTAAAACAATGTGATAGAAAAGATGCTCAGCATCATTAGCCATCAGGGAAATACAAATCAAGATCATATCAGGTACACCCACTAGCATAGCTAAAATTTTAAAAAACAGACAATAACAAGTGTTGATCAAGATGTAGAGAAATTGGAATCCTCCTACACTGCTGCAGGGATTGTAAAATGGTGCCCCCACTTTGGAAAACAGATTGACAGTTCCTCAAAATGTTAAACATAAAGTTACACACAACCCAGCGATTCTTTTTTTTTAAAGATTTATTTATTTATTTATTTATTTTTTGAGGAAGATTAGCCCTGAGGTAACATCTGCCACCAATCCTCCTCTTTTTGCTGAGGAAGACTGGCCCTGAGCTAACATCTGTGCTCATCTTCCTCTACTTTATATGTGGGACAATTACCACAGCATGGCTTGCCAAGCGGTGCCATATCCGCACCCGGGATCTGAACGGGTGGACCCTGGGCTGCCCAAGCAGAACGTGCAAACTTAATCACTGCACCACCGGCCCAGCCCCTACCCAGTGATTCTACTCCTAGTTATATACCCAAGAGAAATGAAAACACATGTCCACACAGAACTTTGTTCACAAATGTGCTTGACAGCATTATTCATAATCACCAAAAAGTAGAAACAACTCAAATTTTCATCAGCTGATGAATGCATTTTAAAAAAATGTGGTAAATAAAGAACTAAGACATGCTACAACATGGATGAACATTATGCTAAGTGAAACATTACGCTAAGTGAAAGATGACAGTCACAAAAGATATATCGTTTGATTCCAGTTATATGAGATGTCCAGAATAGGTAAAACCACCACGGAAGCAGAAAATAGATTACTGTTGCCTAGAGCTAGTGGATTCAGGGTGAGACTGCTAATGAGGCACAGAGTTTCTTTTGGGGGGGGGGGGTGATAATATATTCTAAAATTAGATAGTGGCAATAGTTATGCAACTCAGTAAATATGTTAAAGACCATTGAATTGCGTACTTTAAATGGGTGACCTTTATGGTATGTAAATTATACATCAATAAAGCTATTTTAAAAAATGAAAGCGTGATAGAAGAAAGCATGGGATTCTAGAGGAAGTATAAATGAGGGGTATGGTGGGTCTCAGTAAGGACGATTTCAGCCACAAATAACAGAAAACTCAATTTAAGCTTCATTCAGCAATAAGGGAATTTATTATCTCACATATCAAGGAGGCTGGAAGAAGAGCAGTGCCAGGGTATTTAGGTCAGCAATTCAGTAGCATCTTCAGGATTCCAATTGTTTCCATCTTTCTGTTCTTCCATTCTCAGACTATTGGCCTTTGCCCTTAGGCTTGTCCCCTCATAATCAGAGTGTGGCTGCCACAGCTCCACATGTCACTTCCTCACCAGCAACCTTCACAGACTAGAAGAGAGAATATCTCTTTTGGCTCCCTTTTTAAGAGTGAGATCCACTTTCCCAAAAGCTCCCAGAAGACTCCCTCATGTGTTATCAGAATTGCATGATTTGATTATTCCTAAAACAGTAGCTGGTAAGAGGAATAGAATTATTGCTATTGTCTTAAACCAGTCAAGATTCAACCCCTGAGTCCAGGAAGAGGCCCAGCCACCCTCGATGCTAAAAAAATCAGAGTATTGTTCAGTAGAAAGAAGGGAGGATACCTGGAAGCAATCAACCTCTGCCACAGTGTGAAATAAGGAAGAGACCCTGGTAGGCAATCCCTGAGCTAAGTTTTAAGGTGCTAGCAGAGATGCGGCAGATTGGGTGGACCCAGGAAGGAGTGGCTTGAAGAGCAGGCAGGGGAGAGAGGACATTCTAGGAAAAGGAGAAAAAATGAGCAGAAGCATAGAGACTAGGAAGAAAATGGAAACGTACGAGCTATTCGCCGAAGCATAAAATGATGAAAGATGCATTCACAAGCCAGCAAGTTAACTAGGTTTGTCTGTTTACCAACAAAAGTTTATGAAACTAGAAGAGACAGGTCAAATCTGCTTTGGATTTCTCTGTCAGAGAGATGTTCAATAGATGACCTGTGCTTCCCTAAGAAATCAGAATGAAAAGTGAAGAAAGATAGTAGCTTTAAATTAATTCTCCTGTTTTTCCAGAGCATCTCCTCCCCACCCCCACACCCTTCTCTCTCTGTTAGGCGGCAAAGGCCTACAAGCCAGGGCTAGACCTTTGGTACTCGTGTTCACTGGACTGCCCACTGCATTAAGTCGTTTGGGGTGGAGGGGAGGCTCCTGCCGTAAGATATCCTACTGTCTGTGAGCTTCTTTTCCTCTACAGCATTTTTGACATAAGGTTTCTTGGCATGGCTGTAAGTTCTTTCACTCTGATGCAGTGCCTTTGACTGGGAAAGTGGAGAAGGCTTAGAGAAGTTCAGAAGGGAGAAATGAGGCTACCTGTCCATAAAACGGAAGCCCATTCCTATGGGGACACTGCGGACTCATCGTGCTCCTGTGGAGTGTTACCTGTCCCCAAAGTCATGAACTCAGGGGTCATCTCCAACTCCCTTCCCCCTACACTTAGGTAATCTAATAACGTGAGCTGTGACTGGGATCCTGCCTCTGAACTTGGGGATGATCTCTAACCAATTGTAGCACCGTTTTGTACTGCCTAGAGGTGGCCTCAATCATCTTCTAGGCTCCGTGCTCCACAAAGCCAAAAACTATCTGTCAGACTTTGTATGAGAAGTAAAATCAATTTTCTGTCCTATACTAGTCAAAGTTAGGCAGTCACATCTGCAGAGACAGCAGGGTTGAAGAGCGTGACAACTGGCCATATTATACAGGCCCCCTGTGTTGAAGGAAATTTATTTACTAAGTGCAGACAGAGGGATGGAGCAGCACCAAGATGGAAGGGCTCTTTTCTTGTTGGGGTGATCATGAATCACTGGACAATAGTGAAGATGGCTCACCTTTGGATTCTAAGCCCAAAATGCCATTTATACCAATGGTAGTAATATGCTGAAACTAATTAATACTGTATCCCAGGTCACTCCAGGTAAGATTGCAATTGCCTCTGAAAAATAGGAAAGATAGATATAAAGAATTATTTCCAGGTTCCCCATAAGAGAAGTAAAAGCTATAACCACTGAAAATTTCTAATTTAATAAGGAAAGAAAGCAGATGAAAACATGTTTACGGCTCATATCTGCCAAAGAGAATTAACTACAATGCACTTTAAAGCTCTTCTTTCAGTGGGGGATTAGGTGCAATAAAGCCCAGCACATTTTGTCTCCACCACAAACTAAAATGATCATCTGCTTATCTATCATTTATTTCACACAGAGGGCTCACACCAATAAAGCTCTGATTTTACAGAGCTAGGAAGGAAGATAAAACCCATAAAACATGCTGTACACTTTTATGGCTTAAAGATATGTCTCTCAGAAAGGTGAACCAAATATTTACAAACAAGCCTATCTCATTATCTTTTTTGCGCAGTGATTTTTTTCACAATATGGTAATTCCTTGGGTATCGGGAGGTCAGATTCCAGCAACTCTAGGTATCTCAGCATGATCCTTGCAATCAGAATTTCCTTACTAGGAGGAAAATATTCTTGGCACTGTTGTCTGATGCCTACAGGGTGGAGGTAGCCCTGCACTGACAGTAGAAAAGAATTGTCAGCCCCATCCCCTACTCACTTGAAGCAGGAGGAAAGGACGGGACCAGAGGTCATAATCAGGGGAGGACAAACAGACAAACAGCCTCTCTTCTGGAATCAGCACTCATTTGTGGAGATTCTTTTGCTGAATCGTTGACTTTTTATACTTTGAATTCTGTCTGTTCAGTTCAATGGAAATTTGTTTAATAATACTATAATCCAGACACTGGAGAGATAATAAGTTCCCTCAAAGTGCTTATTGTCTAGGAGGCAAACAGGTAAGCAAACAGATGATTCCAATATAGTCTGATATGAGTCAAACAGAAGCAGACACAAGGTGTGGTGGAGGACGTGGAGGACGCCAACCCTGAGGGAGACAGGTGGGGCTGTGGAGATATGCAGAAGGGTTCTCAGAAGATGCTTCAACATAATTGAAATGTTGTATTATGATCGTATTAAATACGAACATTTTATATCTGTTAATGAGGTAGTTAAATACATAAACTACTTATTTTTAAGAAATAATGACCTTATTTTCTCATAAACTCATATAAAAAAGTGTTACCTACAAGAAACCACACCCTCTGACCCTATTGTCATCAAAGACAGGTCTCTGTTTCCTTCTCCTTCTATCCCTTCACAGGAGGTGGGGATGAAGGTCAAAAACTGTGATTAGAATGATGGATGAGAAGGAGTGAAAGTGCCAGGTATCAAGGAGAAAAGCAGCAGACTATATTCTCCCTTTACTGATTTCAGACTTCGCATCTGCAGCAGCTGAGGCTGGAGAAAGACAGAAGATTTAACTTTAAATCAAGATTAAACACTTAACTATGACATGGGACTGGAAAGCATCTTTGGTTATCTGAAAATGATGAGAAAAGTTATGGGAACGGCTTTAAATTTCATTCAAGGGCAAAGAAAGAGCTGGCCCCACAGAATAATAAAAAGAGAGTGGTAGACAAAAATAAAATTGCGTCATGATTTAACTCAAAGCAGCGCTTGTTCAAAATAAGAGACACAGCTGAAATCCAAGAAAGAAATGGAGGGAAGGAGGGAGAGAAGGCAGGAAATAAAGAAAGAGGAAGAAAAGGATTAGAAGGAGAGAAGAACTGAAAGCCAGGGAAAAGGAAAACTTCTGAAAAGTAGAATAAAAAGGAAAGGCAAATGGAAGGAGGAAAAAGATAAGAAAATGAGAGGATCGACCTGAGAAATCTAACATCCAACTAGTAGGATTTCAAAGTTAAAAACAAGTGAGAGCCATATGATCCAGCAACTCCTCTTCTGGGTAGATACCCCAAAAGAACTGAAAAGTGGGGACTTGAACAGATATTTGTACATCCAGGTTCATGGCAGCATCATTCACAATAGCCAAAAGGTGTAAGCAACATAAGGGCCCATCAACAGATGAATGGATAAACGAAATATAGTATATGCATACACCAGAATATTGTTAAGCCTTAAAAAGGGAGGACATTATGACATACACTGCAACGTGGAAGAACCTTGACAACATTATGCTAAGTGAAATCTGCCAGTCATAAAACAATAAATATTGTATGATTTTACTTATATGAAAATAATGATTAATTTTATATGTCAACTTGGCTAGGCTGTGGTACTCAGATGTTTGATCAAACATCTGTGTAGATGTTGCTGTGAAGGTATTTTTTACATGAGATTAACCATTTAGATCAGTAGACTCTGAGCAAAGCAGATTATCCTCCATAATGTGGGTGGGCCTCATCCAATCAGTTGAAGGCCTGAATTGTACACTTAAAAATGGTTAAGATGGTAAATTTTATGTTTTGTGTATTTTTTCACAATTTTTAAAAAATAAAAACAGATGAGAGGACTGTCACTCGTGGAGAACATGAATCCAGAGACTGGAAAAGACTACCCGAGAGCCAGAACAGAGAATGAGAAAAGACGCATAATCAAGGCATGCCATTGTGAAATTGCAGAACACCAAGGTTAAACAGATTATAAAAGCTTTAAGAAAGAAAAAACATATATAAAAGGTCACTTACAAAAGGAAACTAGAATGACTAAATTAGACTTCTCAAAAACAACAATGCAATCTGAAAGCAATGTTTTTAAAATTCTGAGGGGAAATTACCTTCAACCTCGATTTCTATACTTAGTCAAAGTACTAATCAAGTACAAGATTAAATTTATATTTGTTACACACAGTGTAGAATGTTCTTCATCAAAATAAGTAAATAAATCAGGAAACACAGAGACTTTGTATCCATGTAATAGGAATCTCGAAGGGTAACAATGAATAACTCCAGAGGATGACTAACAGGCCTAGAGACATGGACAGGAAATCTGTGGGCTCAAGGAAGGTCTCCAGAGAACCAGAGAACCTGGTAAATTATCTGAAGAGCTTGTCCAAGTGCAAAATTACATTGAAAAGTTCTCCCTCTCTCTCTGTCCCTCCCTCCCTGTCTCACTCTCTCCCTCTTTTTCTCTCTCTCTGCTTATTCATATGTATATTTGTGTATATTATTCATATGTATATAATTACATTTTTATAAATATTTTAATATATTTATATGTACATAAAAAACAATGCAAATAAAAAGCTATGAAATCACTAACTTCAAGACAAGCAAAACATAAACACAAATAGGAAAAGTGAGCAATGAAATTAGGCTGAGGAAAAGTATGGTTTCAAAGTGTTAAATCTTCATCCTTCATAACAGGAAATGAATCGATAATGTATAGAATTAATAAATTAAGACATTGCAGGGTTATTTTAAAATATGGAGGCAGACACCAAAAGAAACAGGCAAAAGAGTTCAAAGTATTTGTCTCTGGGAAACAGGACTGGGGATTGGAAAGGAGTGAATCCAATAGGTTGATTTTCCTTAAAAGCCTTTTAGTTTTATTTGTGTTAAAACTATAGTAGAAAAAATAAGTTTTAAAAGCTGTATAGGGACTACACACCTAGAAAAATCCAGAACGCAGAAAACACCAAATGCTGCCCAGGATGTGGAGCAACAGCAACCCTCATTAATTACTGGTGGAAATGCAAAATGGTACAGCCACTTTGGAAGACAATTTGGCAGTTTCTCACAAAACTAAACATAGTCTTGGCATATAATCCACCAATTGCACTCCTTGATATTTACTCAAATGAGCTGTAAATTTATGTCCACACAAAAACCTGCACACAAATGTTTCTAGCAGTTTTATTTGTAAATGCCAAATATTGGAAGCAACCAAGGTGTCCTTCAGTAGGTGAACAGATAAATAAACTGTGGTATACCCAGATAATGGAATATTATTCAGTGCTAAAAAGAAATGAGCTATCAAGCCATGAAAAGATATGGAGAAAAATTAAATGCATATTATTAAGTGAAGGAAGCCAATCTGAAAAGGCTATGAAGGGTAGCGGAATATGCCATCCCAAAATATGCCACTTTGGCCTAAGAATTATTCTGGGCTAAAGAAAATTAAAAAGAAGCAGATACAAGAAAAGAATCTCTGCCCTTCCCTTATTTGCTTAAAGACAGGGCATAAATTTGTAAAAACGTCCCCTCCTCCCCTCTTAACCAGTGAGGACAGAAGTTAATCACCAGAGACAACTGTAGACAGCACCAGAGGAATCTACATAACAAACTTTGCTAAAACTAGCCTTTATCTTCCATTAATTTCCCCATATATTTGCCTTCCCACAATTCGCCATCCTAGAAACTCAAAGTCCTTTTCCTTTGTCTTGTCATTTTTCTAAAAATTTATTGTTCTTTTGTTAAGATCCCATATAAGCCCAAGTTCTAACCACCACTTTGAGTTTCTCATCTCTGAGTGCTCCCGTGTGAATGCACAATGCATGCGTTAATAAACTTCTGTTTGCTTTTCTCTTGCCAATTTGTCTTTTGTCAGTCTAATTTATAGTTCCTAACTGGAGAACCTAGGAGGGGAGAAGGAAAATAGTTAAGTTTTTCCTGCCCTACAACATACTGTATGATTCCAACTATATGATGTTCTGGAAAAGGCAAAACTATGGACATAGTAAAGGACCAGTGGTTGCCAGGTTAGAGGGAAGGAAAAGATGACTAGGAGGAACACAGAGGATTTTTTTTTTTTTTTTTTTTGAGGAAGAGTAGCCCTGAGCTAACTACTGCCAATCCTCCTCTTTTTGCTGAGGAAGCCTGGCCCTGAGCTAACATCTGTGCCCATCTTCCTCTATTTTATATGTGGGACACCTACCACAGCATGGCTTTTGCCAAGTGGTGCCATGTCTGCACCCGGGATCCAGGCCGGCAAACCCCAGGCCGCCGAGAAGCGGAACGTGCCAACTTAACTGCTGCGCCACCGGGCCAGCCCTGAACACAGAGGATTTTGAGGGCAGTGAAACTACTCTGTATGATGTCATAATGGTAGATACATGTCATTATACATTTATCAAAACCCACAGAATGAACAACACCAAGAATGAATCCTAGTGTAAACAACAGGTTTTGTGTGATAATGATGTGTTCATGTAGGTTCACCCATTGTAACAAATGTACCACTTTGGTGGGAAATATTGATAATGGGGGAGGTTATGTATCTGTGAGGGCAGGGAATATATGGGAAACCTCTGTATTGTTTGCTCAATTTTGCTATAAACCTAAAACTGCTATAAAAATTAAAGTTTATTTTTAAAAGTACATATTTGGGGGACCGGGCCGGTGGTGCAGAGGTTAAGTGTGCGTGTTCCACTTTGGCAACCCAGGGTTCGCCAGTTCGGATCCCAGGTGCAGACATGGAACCGCTTGTCAAGCCATGCTGTGCCAGGCATCCCACATATAAAGCAGAGGAAGATGGGCATGGATGTTAGCTCAGGGCCCGTCTTCCTCAGCAAAAAGAGGAGGATTGGCATCAACTAGCTCAGGGCTAATCTTCCTCAAAGAAAAAAGATATATATATATATTGCAAAAAGCATGTCATGAAAAAGAATTATACAGGACCTACTATAAAAGTATTCTTCACATAGGAAAGCCAATGTGGAATCATGGAAAGAACACAGATGTGAAGCCTGGTTCCAGCCTTGAGTCAAGCACTTCACCACCTGGGTGGTCCTGGACTTGTCAGTTCCCTCTCCTGGGTCCCATTTTCTTCTACTGAAGCATGAAGGAGCCACACTGGACTAAACATGACTAAACATGAGCCCCACAAAATGAAATGCTGAAAAAAAGTTGATTTGTGGTCGAATAACCGTGGTAAGTACAATTTAATTATCTCTCAGAGACTCCATACTCAATTAACATTTTAAAGGGGATGTGAAATCTTACAATAAAGAAAACTTTATGTTTTTTAACCTCCTTCATAAATCTCTTGGACCAGGTTTTCTCGACACCAAGTTTTTTCTTTGAATGTATTGACAGTTCTCTAACTATTGTTCTGTGGGAACCCAGTCCCAGTCCATTTAGGCTGCTGGGACAAAGTACCATAGACTGGATGGCTTATAGACAACAGAAATGGATTTCTCACAGTTCTGGAGGCCAGAAGTTTGAGATCCGGGTGCCAGCATGGTCAGGTTCTGGTGAAAGCCCTCTTCTGGGTTGCAGACTGCTGTCTTCCTGTTACAGCCTCACATGGAAGAAAGAGGGCAAGTGAGAGCTCTCTGAGGTGCCCGCCCCCTTTTTTTTTTTTTGAGGAAGATTAGCCCTGAGCTAACTGCTGCCAATCCTCCTCTTTTTGCTGAGGAAGACTGGCTCTGAGCTAATATCCGTGCCCATCTTCCTCTACTTTTTTATATGTGGGACGCCTACTACAGCATGGCTTGCCAAGAGGTGCCATGTCCGAACCCCAGACCAGAACCCACGAACGCCGGGCTGCCGAATCGGAACATGCGTACTTAACCACTGCACCACCGGCCGGCCCCTCTGACGCCCCTTTTATGAGGACACTGATCCCATTCATGAGGGCTCTACACTCATGACCTAATTACCTCCCAAAGGACCCACCTCCTAATCACATTGTGGGTTAGGATTTCAAAATATGAACTTGCGGGGGACACAAATATTCAGTCTATAACACTACCCTAAGATAATTTCTAAGATGAATATCCTAACATTCCTTCATTATCTAAGACCCCATAGCAAATCCATACAATGGCCCTTGGAGCAGTGATAGATTTGGGAAAATACATAGACTTAAGTCATTTCTTTCTCTGATTTCTTTCTTCAGTGCTCTGTAATAACTTCATAAGAAGTCATTTAATATGGAGTTATGAATGTCATTTCAGAAATAAAATTCCCATAGAATGAATGATCATTTCAAAGCACAGCTTGGAGCTACAGAATTGTTTTCTCTAAAACTTTTTTATGTGGCCTAAGCTACATAGCAGATAAATGTCTTCTTATCTGAAAATGAATAAACACACACCCAGAGGCACCGCCAAAGTGTCATTCAGTGTTATAACAAAGAACAGAGCCAGTTCAGTCCTTCCTGAGCAAATAGCAAATCTTCCTCTTTTGATAGAAACAAATCTGAGTAAGGAAAATGCAATGTATTATTTCATAACTGTAAACTAATTCTCACAGGAATTTATGAGCACAGCTGATGAGAGCCTCTATCTGTCAATGCCACGATGCAGAAAACACTTCTACTCAGAAGCAAGGCGAGAACGTGATTAAAATGCAGTCGATAAGAGTGTGTGTCATAGATCACAGAGAGCCGAAGGAGCTCTTGCTTTAAAGCCCTGCAAACTGTGGGAGCAGATGCTGTGACTGGCTCAGGAGAGTCATCAAGGAAGCATAAATATAAAATAGCAGTTATGCAAGAATGTTTCGGGGCCTTGTGGTAGCAAAGGGAGAAGGGTTTTCAAAGCATATCTACCAAGATAAGGCACGAGAGAGAAGTCTGGATTTATAACAGTCATCAGCTATGAAAGAAGCTGGAGACCTTGACATCATTAGCAACAACTCCAAGCAGATCTTTCCGCTTGGGACGTATTTATCGGTCCACTTACAGTCATTATCCCCGTTTCTTCCAATTAGGATTACATGAAAAATCTAACCTGCCAGAATTAACATTCTGTGGAGGCTTGCCTTCCTAAAATCTTCACCATAGCCAAGAAAAAAAGAAAGCATCCCTGTCCAGGACAATTTAAAAATAAATTGCCATCTGCCACGGGCAGGAAAACCTCATTGGCCACAGAACAAAGAAACTGTTCCAAAGCTATTGTTGAGTATCTGCTGCAGCAGAGAATAAAAACAAGTGTCCCCACAGACTCTGGGGCTCATAGTTATATAGTTATTAAAACAAAATACAAATATTTCCCACTTTGTTAGAATTTGGTCAACTCATCTTTTGTCTTTTCCCGATCCACAGGCACACAATTAACTTGAAAATGATACTTTCTCTAAATTTTATCTTTCAGATGAGAAAAAATACAGGACATCCGGTCCTCAATAGAGACTAGAATAACCAACCTGGTAAGCCATCCAGTAGATAAAAACTTGTCAAGCATTAAAGAATATTGTTAGATGTTGGGACTACAAACTAAACACCAAAGAGTAGAAAAAGTAAAGGCAAGAAACCAAGATTTGTTTTATTTTTTTAACTTATTTATTTTTTTTGCTGAGGAAGATTGGCCCTGAGCAAACATCTGGGCCAATCTTCCTCTATTTTGTATGTGGGATGCCACTGCAGCATGACTTGAGGAGCAGTGTGTAGGTCTGTGCCCAGGATTTGAACCAGTGAACCCCAGGTCCCAAAGCAGAGCAGGCAAACTTAACCACTATGCCACCAGGCAGCCCCAAAACCAAGCTTTTATTGTGTGAGGAGGTAATTGCATTTTCACTTCCTATACCAAAGTGTGACATGAGCCATCAGCCTCCTCACCCCTTCTATGCCATGAGGCACCATGGAATTGACCAATGAGAAACACCAGTCAAGATCCACTGACATAAGAATTTATTCCTGCTACTGGCTGAGGTTTCACAGTAAACGGAATTCCAATAAGCTCCTTTGTCTCACATCCATTGGAATGAACACATAGTTAGTGTTAAAATTAGTCATGGTTGGCTTTCTAGGGAGATTAAGGAATATTTGGGGTTTTTTAAAGATTGGCACCTGAGCTAACATCTGTTGCCAATCTTCTTTTTCTTCTTCTTCTTCTCTTTCACTCCAAACCCCCCAGTACATAGTTGTATATTCTAGTTGTAGGTCCTTCTGGGTGTGCTATGTAGGACACCGCCTCAGCATGGCCTGACAAGTGGTGCCGTGTCCGCACCCGGGATCCTAACCCATGAAACCCTGGGCCACAGAAGCAGAGTGCACAGACTTAACCTCTCAGCTGTGGGGCCAGCCCCTGGGTTATCTTCTTAATTGAAGTTTGTTAAAGTGAATTATACTTTTCTTCAAAGGAATAGGAAATTATCCTCTGTATATTTTAAAAGTTTGTTATATTTAATAATGTTCAAATGAGTTGGTCCTTTTTGAAGACAATCAGGACATGGCATTCAAAAATATGCCACTGTGGCGTAAAAATTATTTTGAGCTGAAGGCATTTGAATTCCCGAAATCCCACATCTCCCAAAAGAACTCAGTTGTCATAATTGAGGCAACTTTAATTTTTCTCAGAGACTAGGACTCAAGAAGTAGGCACCACAACCAGACATTGTCACAAGACTATCGTATCTCCTATTCTCCTAAGAGCCCATTTATCTTAACAAAAAGTCATTTGTCTTCCATAAGTGCCCTTTCTCCTGCTCTCCTTCTACGAAGTCATTTGTTTTCCCAATGTCTTTCTCTTCTCCTTCACCTATGAAGATGATGTATAAACCCCAAATTGTAACCACCCCTTTGAGTGACTCATCACTGAGTACTCCCATGTGTATGTGAGTTGCATTTGTAAATAAACTCCATTTTTAATCCTGCTAATGTGTCTTTTGTCAGTTCAATTTGCAGGCCTCCAGCTACTGAACGTGAAAGGGTAGAGGAAAAGTTTTTTTCCTCTCCTACATTTCCTCCTCTGTCAGATAGAGGTCCAATTTTTTTGGGATACATACAGAGATTGCTACTCAACAACATGAACATGCTCAGATTCAAAAACTTAGACCTCCCCTTGCATGCCCTCAAATCCCTCCTTTTGTTGTCTTATTATTGGCAGCACATGGCCTTGGATAGGTATTTGGAGCCTCAGATGAGGAAAAATTTTAAATTTATGGCAGCTGCCTCTGGGTCTGAAGTTGAGACACAACTGATCTAGGGGTAGATTGTCTTGTTAAATGAGCCACCACTTGAATGGTAACTCTTTTAGTGACGCAAGGAAAAGGCAGGCACGAACTGTGTCCTGCGGGAAATATAACAGAATCCTTTGCGGCTTGATACAGGTTCCCACAAAAGACCCCTTTGTATGCAGCTCTCAGAAGGAGAGGTTGGCCGTTTTGCTTATGGATCCCAGGACCCCTGGGAGAGAAGAGACTTGAAGCCGCGCATGACCCAGATAGGCCAGGGGGCTTACACAGTAGTCCACTGGCAGGAAAAGATGTCAAGAGCCCCAAAGCAGAATCACTACAGGAAAACAGTCAGGGCTGGTTGTTCAGGTTCAACTCAAAAGCAAAGTGTGAGAAGTGACCCTGGTACAGAGTTGGGCTGAGTCTGGAGCCCCTCTGGATCCACTGTGGCACAATGTCAGGCTGTGGGGAAAACAGCTGAGCACATATGTTGTCAGGGCCCAGGGCAGGCCACCCCAAAATATCCCAAAATAGCATGCTGATTATTTTGAATTAAAGTTACTTGAGACACAAAGAGGGCATTCTGCCCCTCCTATCTCTGTTCCCCTGAAAGCAGGAAGTAAATCTCCTGCGTGGAAGGTGCTCTGCCTGCGTCCTCATCTCCAGAGCTGGGATTCAGGGCTGAGACCCTGCATAAACAAACCTTGCTAACTTACTACCTCAAATCTTAACTCTGCTTAAATTCCTCACCAATTGGGTACCTCAAATCTAAGTTTCTTTGTCCTGTCACTCCTCACAAATTCATTGTTTCTTTGTGAAAAGACCTATATACTGCCTGCTTTGTTCACTCTCTGAGCATCATTTCTCCATGATCTCCAGTATGGGCATATTAAACTGGGTTTTCTCCTGTTAATCTGGTCTTTGTCAATTTTATAATTAATCCAGCCATAAGAACACAAGAAGGGTAAAAAGGGGGATTTTCCCTCACTCTGACAATGTCAACGTAACCTTAGAGCCCAAGCCAGGCACCAGCAGCAGGCTTTGCAAGGATCTACGCCAGGAAGGGCATCACTGAAGGAGAGTGATCCACCAGGCTATCCAAGAGAGCCAGCAGCAGAGCTAAGAAACAGCATCTGCAGGACAGGCAGCTAACAGGCTAAGTGGACTTTGCACCTCAGTCTCTGTCTGGTGTGTAGAAGGACTGAAGCTATAGTCCAAGGGTTCTTGGACAATTAGGAAAGGCAGAAAAAAATCACAGTGGGAAATATTTGAAGTCTTGCCAAATAAAGCATATGAGGATGAAGAACATGAAGTGATATTTTTCCCCAAGCTGGTGAAACAGGTCATTTCAATTTCAGAAAGATCATTTAAGTTACTTGAGTTAACACAAGTGTATATAACAACTGCTAATTTAAATAAAACTGTTAATCATTTTTAAATAATGAAAACTAGCAGTCATACCCAACCCCCACCCACTCACATTAGGGAGAAGAAAGGGCCACTAATTTGAGAAAAGCATCTTATAAATATTTTTCCTTTTTAGGAATATAGAGATGTCAATTTCAGCATTATAACCAGGGCAAAAAAAAAAAAAAAAAGGAATAAGAAAAACATTCAGAGTTACATGTTTCTCTTTGAAGGTTATTTTCACAGAACACAGCGCTGTTTTCTAAGGTCTTTGGAATCTTACAAGTTCCCTTTGTTTCAATTTTCCTTCCAAGGGCAGATATATATTAGCAGGAAACAGCAAGTTAGCAACAATTATGAATGTTCACAGAAATCTCTTTATTGCACAGACAAGCAAGTCTAATGAATGTTTCCAATGCTTTATCAAATTAGATTATTTGTCCACTTTGAGGGCACAGAAAGCTCTCTCTCCCCCAGAAGCCGTAGGACAAAAAGAATCTCTCTTTTTCCTCTTCTTTTATTTATTCATTTATTTATTTTGGTGAGGAAGATTGGCCCTGAGCTACCATCTATTGCCAATCTTCCTCTTTTTGCTTGAGGAATATTGTCCCTGAGCTAACATCTGTGTCCATCTTCCTCTATTTTATGTGGAATGCCACCACAGTATGACTTGATGAGCAGTGTGTAGGTCCACGCCTGGGATCCGAACCTGCAAACCCTGGGCTGCCAAAGCAGAGCCTGTGAACTTAAACACTACGCCACCAGGCTGGCCCTTCTTTTTCCTCTTCTTGAGTCTCCTCATTAAGTAGAAAACACTTGCACTCACTAGAATTGTAAGCAAAAAGCAGACTGTCAATATCAATTTCACTGGTAGAAATGGGGTGAGAAACGGGGTAAGAAATGGGTAGAGTCTTACTAATAGTGAAATGAAGAGAATATAGCACTACTCTTTCATTTTACTACATTGAGAATTTGAAGACTACTTTGGGTAACACGCAAATTAGATAACCCATAATAATATGTGTACGTGGCCTCTAAACATTTAGAGAGAGAGAGATCATAGGCAAAAAGAGATGGAGACTCCTCTCCCAGAATTTTATTTCATCAGTACTACTCAAGTGTTTTTTCTTTTTTACTTTTATATGAAGGGAGAGAGTATAAGAAGAGAACGTTGGGAATACAATTTCCCTTTATTAGCTCTGTGTGTTTAGACAACTGAACTCAAACTCTCTGAGCTGCAGCTTCACTCATCAAGATGAGAAACCACCTATACTCTTCAGGTTTTCTGGGTGGCTTCCTCACCTCAGGTACTGGGCCATGTTACATCACAGCCACCCTAGACACAGCCTTTTCACCACTGTCTCTGTGGCTCAGTCTTAGTTCCCCAGTTTTCCAATTCCAAATTCACAAGGAGAAAAATGCTTGGCCCAGCTCATCTTTTCATGTGAGGGATCTTGGAGGACATTATTCTTAAGCTATGTATTCTCCTCTCATACAGTCAACTACAACAGCTGTGGGAGGACACAAGGTCATTTTCTTGTTGGTTTAGCAAAGCAGAGAAAATTTCAATAGAAGGGAAGGTGGGGAGGGCAGACAATGATCAACAGCTCTGGGCTAACAATAAAATACTTTAAAACTTCAAATAAAATATCTATCTTAGCACTGTATTTAGAATAAATGTTTCTAAGGTTTCTTTATCACTTCAATACTGAACAAATTCTGAGGTATCTTTTTTGTAGCAGTGAAATAAAAAAGTGAAGCTCCATAAAATTCAAATGCAGGAAAAAAAGTCAAGGCAATTCAAACAAATTTTGAGAATTTTAGTCACCTCAGGATACTACAGTTTGAGAGCTGATAGATAATATGATCATGGGACAAATAAACCACCAAGACATTTATTGGGACAGATTTTTTTTTTCAATTTCAAGAACCAAATGTCGTCAAGTAATTT